GACAATCTAGACAGCCACTACTCAGTCCATGTGTTCTGGCCCGAGAATTCCACAATCGAGGCATGCCAGGAGCTGTGCGTGGAAACTGATGCATGCAAAGGCATTGAGTTTCGGCTGGGAGCCTGCGAGATCTGGACCCTGGCTGGTGGCATTCAAGCCTCGGTTGGTGCACCCGGAAGAACTTGCATGAGGTATGAGCCATTCCGCTCAGTTGACGGATTCTCCGACCGTGTGTGTCGCGGCAGCAGCGTCACAGATTCTCAAGACTCCTACTATGCCATCTACTCGCCAACAGATGCCCCATCGCTGGAAGCCTGCCAGTCCTTGTGTGCCAAGACTCCTGGCTGCCAGGGCATTGAGTACCGAGGCTGGTGTGAGGTGTGGACGCGATCCGGCGGCATCGGAGCTGTTGCTGTCTCGCCTGGCTCGCAGTGCTTGCGATATCACCCTTTTCTGGCTGTGGATGGTGGAGTGAATCGTGCGTGCAGAGGCGTCGACTCAAGTGATAGCTGGGGCACCTACTATACTGTTTATGGACAGGAGGAGAGCAGTTCTGTGGAAGATTGCAAGTCCAAGTGCATTGCAACATCGGGTTGCAGGGGCATCCAGTTCCAACCAGGGAGGTGTGAAGTGTGGACACGACGTGCCGGCATTGGCGCTTCAGCCGCCAGTGCTGGCACAGTTTGCATGCGCTACGGCACCCTGAGTGTTGCAGTGGCAAGTGATGCCTTTGCTATGGTGGAAGCAGGACCCAACCAGGCCTGCCGTGGATCAAGCCCAACAGACGACCAGTCAAGCTATTACATCCTGCGTGGGCCGGATGTGGCAGCAAACGAGGAGGAGTGTCGAATGCTCTGCGTGGCCACCGCCGAATGCCAGGGAATTGACTTCAGTGCAGATGGTTGCAAGGTTTGGACGCGCACCGCTGGCATCCAGAGCTCCACTTCCTGGTTTGGCGCCACATGTCTGCGGTATGATCCTTTTGAGCCTGTGGACGGGGGTGATGGCCGTGCCTGTCGCGGTGCTGATGTCAGTGACAATGCCCAAAGCAACTACGTCTTGCATACCACGGTGTCTACGCTTGCAGACTGCAAGATCAAGTGTGCAAGTACTCCCGGTTGCAAAGGCATATCCTTCGAAGGAACGGACTGTGAAGTTTGGACCAGAACCGGTGGTATCCAAGCCAGCACTACATCCGCTGGAAGCAGCTGCATGCGATACATGCCTTTCACAGCTGTCAATGGCGGAGAAGACCAAGCTTGCCGTGGTGCTCATGCGCAGGACATTGACCCCAGCTACTACGAATGGTTTTCACTGGAGCAAGTGCCATCCATGGAGCACTGTCGCCTGCAATGTGCTGCGACTGATGGCTGCACAGGAGTGGACTTTGGCGCATTGGGGTGCAGGGTGTGGACACGATTCGAGGGCATCCAGGCAACCGAGTTCGTGGCCGGCTCCACCTGCCTTCGCTTCGGGGGCCCGAATGAGCTGGCTGCTGGGTCAACTCAGTTAAAGTTGTTCCAAAGGCGCCGATGTGAGGCAATGCTTTCTTTTGAGGGAGCGCGTTTGGAGTCATAAAGCCCCACCTAGGTTGATGCCAGCGCTTTCAAGCCGGTCGATGGAGGAGTGGGGCGCGCATGCCGGGGCAGAAATGAGACGGACAACTTGGATGCTTACTACACCTTGTTCTGGGCGTGGCCAGAAAACTCCTCCCTTGCAGCCTGCAAAGACAGGTGCGCCTGAACCTCAGTTGTTACTAGGTCTCATCTGCGCGTTTAGCTTTGAAAATCTCTAGCGCGCCTTAAGCCAAAGTGAACGAGCTTAGGTACGGACGGTGAGTTGCAAGGGCATTGAGCCTCTTGGCAAGCAGCAACATACCTTGCGACTGCTGCTTGTTCCGTCCCAATGCAGATAGCTACCAACCGTCAATCTACTTGTGAAAGGTTTCGAGTGGGCGGGTGCGAGATCTGGACACTGGCCTCTGGCATCCAAGCATCGGTACAGTCTACTGGTAGAACCTGCCTTCAGCGCCTCGGTTTGTCGAAGTCGTACTTGGAAAGGGCAGGGAAGGACATGCAGCATGAAAACAAAGAGTGCCCCTAATCTTTTTGAAGTCTACACCCCAAACCATGGGCTCTGGGAGGTACAGGCCTTTCAGATCGTTGGACGGCTTCAGTGGCCGCGTCTGCCGAGGAAGCTCGCCAACAGACAGCCTGGCTAGCTACTACACCCTCACAGGCAGCAATTGTCAGTTTTTGTGCTATGGGGATTGAACAAGATTGACGGTTGGAGGCTTTTTGCCTTAAAGTTCATGACGCTTTTGAATCTGGCTAGCCTCGCAGGCCCGGACGTCACTCCCACGCTGGAGTCTTGTCAGAATCTCTGCATATCTACTGCGGCTTGCAAAGGCATTGAGTACAGAAACGGCTGGTGTGAGATCTGGAGGCGTCCGGAAGGCATTGGGGCCGTGGCAGTTTCTCCTGGTGCAGACTGCTTGCGCTATGAGCCCTTTGTAGATGTCGAGGGTGGTTTGGACCGAGTTTGCAGGGGCGCAGATCCAGCAGACTCCTGGAGCAGCTATTACGAGGTTTCGGCCGCAGCTTCGCTTCGAGAATGCAAAGATGCCTGCCTCAGCCGCTGGAACTGTCAAGGCATCGAGTACAGGAGGGGTCGTTGTGAGGTTTGGACAAGGCCCGCAGGCATCCAGGCTTCTGCCCCGAGTGTGGGCTCGCTCTGCCTGCGCCTTGGCACCTTGACGCAGGCTACGGATGCTTTCCTGGCCTTCCAGGGAGGCAGCGACAGGTCTTGCCGCGGCTCGAATCCCTCGGATGATCAGCTTAGTTATTATGACTGGCACGGGCCAGCTGCTGTCGAGACTTTAGAGCAGTGCAAGCTGCGGTGCGCTGCCACTCCAAGCTGCAGAGCCATTGACTTCAGTGCAGAGGGGTGCAAAGTCTGGACAAGGGAAGTTCAAAGCAGCGCTGAGGTTGCAAATTACACATGCCTGCTCTTCGAGCCCTTCCAGCCAGTCAACGGAGGAGACGGCCGTGAATGCCGGGGTGAGGATGCATCAGACATCTCCAGCAGCGATTACACACAAAGTTCGGCCGCTTCCCTTGCAAGCTGCAGGTTGACGTGTGCTGAGACCTCTGGCTGCACCGGCATCTCCTACGATGGAACCAACTGCCGGGTTTGGACTACTGGCATTCGGGCTTCCGTTGCGTTGGAAGGAAGCACGTGCCTGCGGTATGAGGCGTTCATAGATGTGAATGGAGGGCAGGACCAATCTTGCCGAGGAGGGCACATCTTCGACAACTCCGCCTCTTACTACAGATCCTACACTCTGTCACAGATTCCCAACCTGGAGAGCTGCAAAGTCGAGTGTGTTGGCAGAGCCAGTTGCAAGGGCCTTGACTTCAGCGCTTTGACTGGCTGCAAGGTCTGGTCCAGGGTGCAGGGCATCGAAGCCACAGCGCCGACCCCGGGCTCCACCTGCGTTCGGCACCTTGACATCTCTAGCAATGGTTTTGATATGTTTTGATGCAGACAGTTGATTCGTCCTTCCACTTTAGCCCTGACTTAGGTATGGAGTGCCTGACCCGCTGCGCTCGGCGGATGCCTTCCCGGGCATGGATGGAGGGGTCAACCGAGCTTGCAGAGGCGCCAACGAGAGCGACAACAGCGACCAGAACTGGATCTTCTATCCCATCTCCCAGGCCCCCGAACCCATGGACTTTGATATCGCTAGACTAGCAGATTGCGGCACATGCCTTTCACCATGGCTCGTCAATGACCTGCATAGGCTTGCAATTCTTGAGCCGCAGGTCCGAACCCTGGAAGCATGTCAGCTGCGATGCATCTTCAAGCCTGGCTGTGTCGGAGTGGAGTTCAACCTCTGGGGCTGCGAGGTGTGGATGCGGCCGGGGGGTATCCAGGCCTCTGTGTAGCATTGCTGATCTCAGAATATGTTTTGATATTAATGTCTTTATATGTAGACATGAATGCAGGCAGCCGAATTTTAACACCACAATTCTAGCACGCAGAAAGCTGCGAGGTCCATGGATGCTATCTAGGGCATTCTAGGGCTGTTCTTCCAGAGCAGCGTAGAGTGCATGAGGCCACAAAGCAGGCTAGGAAGCACAGGTGGACATTGAACATGCAAGGCTCCAAATAAAGCGCCCTGCCGGCCTAGGCCGATAGTTGTTTATCCAGCAAGAAGAAATGTGCTGTTGATACCTTTGTAAAAATATCAGCCTTCAACTGTCCCCTCCTCTCCAAACATCTTTTACTGCTTGCCCGCGATTGTCCAAGGTATGCTGCGGGCTACCAGTGCTTTCGCTTCAAGCCCTTTGTTTCGGCAGACGGCTTCGTTTCTTGATCGAATCATTTAGCTTGACATATCATTGGTTGGTAGGAAATAAGGGAACATAGGGAACATATTATATAGGGATTATAAAGGGTCTACGTGGCTATGTTCTCATTGCTTGGTAGCAGATGATCTGTTATCAACCTAGTGCTACCCATGGTCAACCATCCTACGTCTGTCCCTCTTTCGTGCGAAAGAGCATGTTTTCGGCCATGGATGGCTTCAGACGATTGGTTTCATGGAGTTTATTTCGGGGATATTCAAAATTATGCTCCGTTTTGGTGCCGGGCCTTAAAATGACATGGACCATGGTTTGACTGCAGTCCATATGACGAAGACATTCATACAGTTTAAGTGCCAGTCAGTGAGGAAGACCGAGCCTGTCGTGGAAGCGACGTCTCAGACAACTTGGGGTCCTATCTGTGCCTGGACCTAAAGTCATCTGTGCTTTGATCAGAAGGATTGGAGATTTTCAGCAAATTTCGCAATTTGCTAGGCAACTAGGTCTCTGCTTTGCAAGGATCAGTAGGATTGCTGCGATAAATCCTCAGGACGCGCGCTCTGGAAGCCAGGCTCAATCAAGTTCGTTTTGAGGTGGACCGGAGATGCAGGATCTTCTGGTTGTTCGTAAGGCAGGAAGAAATGGAGGCTACTGTAAGGTCTCTCCATTCTTTGCCAATTAACAGGCAGCAAGATCGTCCTCAGTGGACTAGTGTCAGTTTCACATTATCAGACATACCATAGCCGCGGTTGTTGAAGAGCTGGCAGTCTGACTCCATGCTTCTCGTTCTTCTTGTCTGCGCTGAGGATCTTCTATGGCAGGACAGCCGACGGACCCTATGACGGAAGCTTGGCAATCACTCATGGGCCATGGGTAGTCACGAAGCACCAGTACTCTCATAAACTATTCTGCAACAGTTTCAGATGCGGCAAGCCCCCCGCCATTGCAAGCTGGGTTCTGCGGAGATAGTCTAGTGAGGCCAACTAATGTAACAGGGTGCTACATCGCAATATTCAAGGGTCTCGTGCATTGCTGTGATTCCAAGTGCGATTGGTAAGATGGGAGTCTGCTCTTTGCGTGCCTGGGCCACGACACTCAAACACGTTGATGCAGTGCCGGCCTCATCCGCAAACATCCCAGCGCGTTGCAAACAGAGCGCGTTTGCTTTCTAAAGTGAAACCGAGGACAGAGGTCAACCTGCGAGCATCTGTTGGGAGCTCGGTGCATGCCAGTGCGTCCTGCAGCAGGCTTGTTTTGTCGAGTTGCTGATATTCCCTGGGTTGGCTAAAAATTGGTCCTAGGTCTTGTAATCGATGACCCAGGTGTGCGTCAACGTCTGGGTGCAAAGGCATCGAGTTCAGCCCTGGCCACTGCGAAGTGTGGACGCGCGAAGAAGGCATTGGTGCGACAGTGCCAAGACGGCAAAAGGCAACACATTGCTGTTGCTTCGTTGCTCTCTGCAGATGGAGATGTTCCCTTCCAAGTTTTGTTTCAGCTTGCCACTTAGGCTGCGTCCACGGGTGCTTCGTGCCTGCGCCCCTTGGAAGGCAATCTGTCGACGGTGCCGCTACTGTGTGTTCGTATGGATCAACACCCCACCTCAGCATTGTTTTGGGACACGGGCAGTTCTTTCAGTACCGCCCCGCATTCATTCGTGTGTTTTATAATGCAATCATTTTCAACTCCTCGAGTCTTGCATATTATAGTAGATTCTAGTATATTCTCGCATACTATAGTGTCTTATGGTATATTGTAGTATAGTATAGTATATCATATTATATAGTATAGTGTACTATACTATAGTATACTTTATCATCTTGTTGTATGTAGTATAGTACCGAGGCTACGCGCCTTTCTCGAACGTGGAAGGAGGTGTGGATCGAGCGTGCCGTGGGGAAGATCCCTTTGACAACTGGCCCAGCTGCTAAGCCTTTAAAGGGGAAATAGGGGCTCTATAGAGGATTTATAGGTCTATATTGGGGTCCCCCTATGCAGGGAAACTACCAGCTTGTCAACGCCAAGGCGTAGGTGACAACTGGGCTTTGAATTTTTTCAGGGATGCAAGCATTAGCGGTCCAAGGTTACTACACGCTTACAAGTGCAAGCTCCGTGGAGGACCAACGCACTGCTCACATTTTAGCAACGCGACGTGCAAATTGACGCGCTCAAAGAGTGATTCTTTCATAGTACCCTACCAAATCATTACAGGCTGTAGGCCACTCTTGTCTCCATGCCTCACAGGACTGCAAGCAGCTCTGCATGAGCACGCCTGGCTGCAATGGCATCGAGTATAGCAATTTCGGCAGATGCGAGCTGTGGACCCGAGTGCCTCTGCTTTAAACATCATCGTTTATGGTTGATCATGCTTGTGGGCTCGCTGAGCAGCAGTGGGGCTTGATAGAGGGAGGGTAGAAGAGAACAGGGAAACCGGCGACGGCTCAGGCGAGGGGGATCGGAAGCTCCTCAGCGGCTGTGGGATTCGTGTGCATGCGGTACGGCTCCTGGGATCCTTCGGATGTCATCGATGGCTTCTTACCAGCTGATGGAGCTCTGGATAGGGCTTGTCGTGGCCAGAACCGGACCGACATGGATCCTTCCCACTTTTCCTTCTACGCGCCGGACATCGCACCCAGCCTGGGGGCCTGCAAGGCCATCTGCACAGTTACTCCCGGCTGCAAGGGCGTGGAGTACAGCGACTTTGGATGTGAGGTCTGGACACGCAAAGAAGGCATCGAGGCAACAGCTGAAGTGGTTGGCTTCCAATGCTACCGCTACGCTGCGTTTGAGCCCGTGGATGGAGGCCAGGACCGAGCCTGCCGCGGCGCAGACAGCCAAGATGCATCTTCAGAAAATTACATCTTCCACAGCACCTCTGAGGCTCCTTCCCTAGACAGTTGTCAGGCAAGGTGTGTTGCCAGACCTGGCTGTAGAGGCGTCTCTTACGACAGCAATGGATGCCAGCTTTGGACTCGTCCGTTTGGCATCGAGGCCACGGTGGCCAGTCCAGAAAGTTCGTGCTTCCGGCATGAGCCTTTCACTGCAGCTGATGGAGGTAAAGACCGTTCCTGCCGAGGTGCTCAACCTTGGGATGACAATCCAGAACACTACCGAGAAGCAATGCTGTCACTACCAACGCTGGCGGCCTGCAAGGTGGCTTGTGTCAACTCGCCCGGCTGCAAAGGCATCGAGTTTCAGCCAACCGGCAAGTGCTTGATATGGACGCGCCCAGGAGGAATCGATGCAACTGCAACCGCCTTCGGTTCCATCTGTCTGAGGCATGGCGCAACCCAAGCTGGAGCAAGTGAAGAAGGAAGCCTGGTTGGCCAGATCCACCTGGCATCTGATCCAAGGCTATGCCTTCAAGTTGCAGGCACTTCGAATGGAGATGCTCTGCAAGTTGGCCAATGCACCACTGCGACTCGTTTCATGATGTACACCGATGACACGGCGCAAATTCGCTTAGCGGATGACTCCACCAAGTGCCTCGACGTTTCGGGTGGTGTCAGAAGCCCCTTGGCCAGAATTGGCATGCCACCATCATGTCGGCACCGCCATGTCATGACCCAGTGTGCGTGCTGCCCGTACAGGTAACGGCACCCGGATCCAGATTTGGAGTTGCGAAACTCCGGTCGCTGAGCTTGATAGACTAGTAAAAAAATCCGCCTTGCTGTACGGAGGTTGTTCGGGACTCCTCCTCCTCAGTTCCAAGGAACTTCTCAATAGTCATACGTTGGAACATGACTGGGCTATGAAACCATAAGTGGGTAGTGTGTTGTTGTGGTTGAACCAAGTTGTAAAGAACCATGCCCAACAGTAGGCAAATTGTCGTTCAACAACCCATGAGTAGAGCTATGCGACTGGAAAAGGCATCAGCGTGACAACTTGGGCAAGTTGTGTGAAGGTCAACGGCAACATGCAGTTTCTGCTGCCTGACATTGGTGTGGGGCAGATCAGGCCAGGAAGTTCTGAGCCAAAATAACGCCATGCATTAAGAGGTTTTCAGTTCACGATGCGACATGCTACCAGCAAATTCATCCAGCCTCCTGCAGCATACGACATGAACAACGCTGCTCGTCAACAGAACCGGTATGTTCCACAATGTCAGACCATCCAGGTTGCTGTCTTGTCGATGCAAATGCGAGCAGGCCTGAATGATGCCATCAGGTGCAGCGGATGTCAGGAATCGGCATCTCACACCATTCATCCACGCTAGAAGCAGCATGGATGTCGTCTTGCGGTCATGGGCAGCAGAGCATCACTGAATACGGAGACTTCCGGACGAGTCTCAACTTGCGGACGAGTTTCACCATGCTGTTCAGGAGAGTACGCGCAGAGACTGTTTCTACTGTCCCAATAGCTCAGTGCAGCATCGCGAAGTGCAGCACAAACAACGCATGCACAAGCAACAGACGCACAGAACTCTGAACATGCCTAAGCCTGGATGAACGCTCCCTCAGTTTAAAGTTGGGTTTGGCAGTGGAGGTGGGCGACCCACCTGGAGATGTGCCTGCAGCCGCTGAGCCAAGAGTTGGGAAGCCAGGTGGTGCTGTACAACTGCAGGCTGGAGGGGATGTGTAGGACTACAGTAGTAATAGTAATACTAATAGTAATACTAATGGTAATACTAATAGTAATACTAATAGTAATAGCAATAGCAATACGACTCCAGGATCATGGGAAGGACCATTCTACCTGCTTTGCTCTCTCCTTTTGATCAAGGTTTAGGAGCTTGCACTTCGTTCTGGCTCTCCTGGCTCTTCGGATCTGGCGTTCCCGGTGAACACTTAGGGGTCTTGGGGTTAGTCGTTGAGGTTAACCAGAAGCCGTTGGCTTTCATCCGCAAAGCCTTGAAGACTGCAAAGCTTTCCACCAATGCTGCGGACCGTCTAGAGGGGGTTGGGATCGCCATGCTAGTAATCGTCGTTCTTCGTGGATTTTCGACTTTTGGATGGACAGGGCCACTGTCACAGGTGGCCATGTTAAGGGTGGGAGGAAGGCCAGAGGCAGGAGTGAAGGGAGGAAGGATGGGCATTTAGGGTTTAGAGTTTAGGGTTTAGGGTATGCCTCTTGCCCCTTCGAGCCCGGTGCCGTGCCTCGCGTCGTACATGTCGCAGGGTTTTCGTGTCTCCGCGACCACCTCCGCCTCTCAAACTGGCAGTTATTTGTAATGTGAATGAACTTAAGTTGCATGTATGTACTTGCCTCGCCAATCCCTCGAGGTATGATGAGCCGCAAAGTGACACTTTTCCTTCTTTTTGACGAGCGAGCTACATAGCTTCAAGCTTCAAAACGGTATTTCTGTTTGTCCAGCTTGCCCAAAATTGGAGAAAGTGTAGATCAGCTGCGCATCAATCTTATTTCGCGTGAATGCCATTTTCTTTCAGGCCTTCAATCTAGCTCAGAGGAATTTTCAATAAAACGTACAGTAGCAACTCTCTGCCTTCCTTCTGGGCTCTGCGACGTGTTTATGGACATTTCCTTCAGTGAATCGCTGTTCTTTACATGTAGTTCCTGCAATGTCGTTTGCCAGTGCTCTGTGAGCTCAGGATAAACAGGGTGAAATTCCTGCATAGCGAACCCAAGAAATAGGAACCTTGTGCCCATAGGCGCGCCTCTGGAAACTCACGTCTCGTCATGCCCAGCGGTGAGTGGCGTACGGTTCGTAAGCCGAGGCTTGCCTGCAGTTGAGCAAAGCCCCAACTTAACAAAACAGCCCTTACAATACAGGGTAATACGAGGGTTTACTCATAGATTGAATTGAGCTTGCTTGCAAGGGTCCGTTAGAAACTTGTGGTGTGATGCATGATTGACCTTGGGACTCCTTTCGATACCCAGCTAGTTTCGATGCTTGTGAGCATTGCAAGCGCTGCCAAGTGCAATTCTGTTGTTTTGAGTCCGCCTCTGGGTTCAGTACTATCATGTTTTGAGGGGGCCAAGCGAGCCCACCTATTTGACTATCCCCAGACCAAAGGGACAGGGGAGCTCCAACTGAACCACGAGGTCGCTGCTTATGTTTTCAGTGCAAGATTGATCTCGGGCCGTTGAGAGTCAAAGCTAAGCACATAGCGGTTATCATAAGTTTCTGCCCGCAGCACTACTACGTCGGGACTCGTCAAAGCAGCTGCTTGTGGGAGGCACCCTGACAAGGAAATGCCATAAACTGAAGCCGATCTTTTCCTTATCCATGCGGTTGCTTCGAGGAACAGCCCGAAGCACGCACAGATCAGCTGCCAGGTAGCCCACATTATTCCCTAAATTCAACGTGTTTCGAGTATGGATCCTGCTATTTCGAGGATCTTAAGGTTCACTTTCATCCTACAGAGGCTAGCCTTCTTCCAAGGAAATTTGTCGCGCACTACCTGCCCTGGTTCCTGGGCAATAACGTGGATGAGGCATGTACAAGGAGTGGGCCTGCCTGTCCCTATGCACATGACCACTGGTGCTCCTCCTACGGGACCCTGAACTTCAATTTTGGAAGCCTGTTGTGCGTCCCTTTCTGTTCCAGTAGACGATGTGTTTCTGAGAGTTTTTGTGGCGGAAAATTCACACAAGGAACTCTTACTACGCAAGCTACTTGGGTGCTTATGATATAACCGGTCCAGACGTGATTGACATCCAGCTTGACCTGATGAAAGCCTCGGGTCTCGATGGCCTGTGGATTGATTATCAGATGCTCTTCTGTTGTTTGGGCATTTTTGGATTACATAGGGGTTATATTGGGGTAATATTAGGGTTATGTTGGGTTACATTGGGATGATGGCAAATAACATGGAAACTACTACATTATAATGTTGACTTCGTATTAATAA